TGGACACCAAATCTCGGAGAGACCATTTCTCTGCTGTTCACCACTCCACCATCTTTCTGGAAGTCCTCTGTTTCCGCTTTTTAACTATTATAAGTAATCCCATTATGAACAATCATTTTTTGTGAATAAATGTGGCCTATATCCCAGGAGTAGAAATGCTGGGCCATGTAGTAATTGTGTGGGTTACATTTTGAGGTACCGTGCAACTGTATTTCAAAGCCAATGCACCCTTTTACAGTTTCAAGCTGAACTACATAAGCGTTATGTGAGAGCTCCAGATTCTCTATGTCCTCAGCAACATTTATTCTTTCCCATCTTTCTTTATTATACATATCCTACTGTGCAAAGTCTCTTGAGGGTTATAATTAGTGTTTCTCAGTGACTAAGGAACTTGAGCATCTTTTTGCATGCATGTTGGGAGTTGCATCATGCTTGAGACATGTTCAAGGGTTGAGTGTGGTATTGCACATCTGTAATCCCAGTACGCAGAAGGCAGGCGGCAGGAGGATCGCCATGAGTTCTAGGCCAGTCTGGGATACACAGTGAGTTCAAGGCCAGCTTGGAATATACAGTGAGACCCTGTCAAAAAGAAAAAAAAAAAAAAAATAGAAGAAGAAGAAGAAATGTTGAAATCTTGTGTCCGTTTTTGTTGTTTTTTTTGTTTTGGTTTTTTTCCAGTACTGGGAATTGAACTCATGACCTCACGCTTGCCAGGCAGGTGCTGTGCCACTGAGCTAAATCCCCAGCCCCTTTTGTTTTGTTTTGCTTTGTTTTGTTTTTGTTGTTTTGTTTTTTTTCCGGTACCGGGAATCAAACTCACGACCTCACGCTTGCCAGGCAGGCGCTGTGCTGCTGAGCTAAATCCCCAGCCCCTTGTGTCCATTTTTAATTGGATAATTTGTCTTTTTATTCCTTGTATATTCTAGATGCTGCACCCATACATGATTCTCAAATACTTCTTCTCATTCTGTGGACTTCTCCTCACTTAGAAGTAGTAGCCTTTGTTTTGGGGAGGGTTGTTTTGTTTTTGTGTTTTGAGACAGGGCCTGGCTATATAGTCTAGAATGGCCTTAAACTCACTATGTAGCCCAAGTTATCCTGGAACTCATGATGATCCTCCTGCCTCAGCATCCCGAGTGCTGGGATTACCAGTGCATGCCACCATGCCTGGTGTGAGTAGTATCCTTCGAAGCACAGAAGTCCAATTTACTATTTTTTCTTATTGCCTGCTGGAAGTCATGACAATTTTCATCGTTTTTTTTTTTCTTAGTTAGCTCTCTCATTTAGGTCTTTGATCCATTTTCAGTGTTTACATATGGTTTGGGATGGGAGTCAAATTTCATTCCTTTGCATCTAGTGGTACATACACCATTTATTGAAAAAGACTATATTTTTCCCCATCGAAGTGTTGGTAACCTGGTTGAAACCAGTCCACCATTAATGTACAGGTTTTATTTATTTATTGGTACCAGGAATCAAACTCATGACCTCAGGCTTGCCAGGCAAGAACTTATGCCACTGAGCTATATCCCTAGCCCAGTGTATGGGTTTATTTCTGGACTCTCAATTCTATTCCATTTTTCTGTGTCTATTTTTATGGCATTACCATACAGTCTTGATTCCTATAACTTTATGATACATTTTGAAATCAGGAAGTGGAGTCATTTAACTTTTTTTCAACATTATTTTAACTATTGTGGATCCATATAAATTATATATCAGCTTATCAATGTCTGTAAAAATCCCAGCTCAGGTTTTTTGTTGTTGTTGTTGTTGTTGTTGTTGTTGTTATTGGTTTTTTTTTTTTTTTGTTTGTTTTTCTCCAGTACCGGGAACTGAACTCACAACCTTGCGCATGCCAGGCAGGTGCTTTTTGCTGCTGAGCTAAATCCCCAGCCCCAGTTTTGTTTTGTTTTTTTTAAGACAGGGTCTCACTGTGTAGTTTAGGCTGAACTTGAACTTGCAGTCCTTCTGCTTCAGCCTCCCAAGTGCTAGGATTACAGGTACTGTACCACTATACCTAGCTCTGATTTTCATGTTGTATCAATTTTGCGTTCCCATTTGGTCATGGTATATAATCCTTTTTATAGGATGCTGGATTTAGTTTGCCAGTATTTTGTAGAAAACTTTTGTGTCTAAATTTGCTGAAACAATATCATAGTGCTTGTGTCCAAATAACCCTTAGTTTACTTGATGGCCCATGTGCAAGAACATATGCCAAAGAGAAGCACAAAATGTTTCCTTTAAGTGAACAGGTGAAAAATCTCAACCTAGGAAAACATGGAACGTACAGGGTTCGGTAGGATCCGCTGTAGGTCTGGGCACATATCCTCCACAGACGGGGGAGGGCCATTGTAATCAAGTTGCCACCAAGGCGGTCAGGACAAGGACAGCGAAGAGACAGCTATATGAGTGACATGGGTGGAGGTGGAGAGCTAGGGGTTCACACAAAGGGATAAGGTCCCAAGGGACACTGGCCTGGTCAAATTGGGAACAAGGTCCTCTTTTTCTTTTTGTTTTTGGGCCTCACTATGTGGCCCATGCTGGGCCAGATATCCAGACTCGGTCCTCTTGCCTCCACCTTCCAACTGGCTGGGAGCACAAGTGTGCACCACCACACCCAGCTCACCACACCCTTCCAGATTTAAAGCAGTTTGGAGCTTAACAGGATGAGATGAGTAAGACTGTGTCAAGGGCAAAACAGGAGTCAGAGGCGTGTGTTGTTGAGGACAATGGCAGCAGGGTAGGCACGGGAGGCAGGTGCCCTGCTGCTGCTTACAGTCAAGGCCAGGACACATCCACATTAGTCAGCCACCAAACACCTCCTTACATTACGCCCCTCCTCCCACAAGGTTTGCACTTCTGATGATCCCCAAAGGCCGTGCGCTGAAGACTTGGTCCCCAGCTGATGGCGCTCTTGGGAGCAGGGGATCCATTAGAGGTGGGGCCTCCCTGAAAGATTTAGGACCCTGAGGAGGCCCTTAACAGCCCTTGGCAGGGCACGGAGAGCGGGGCCCTTCCCTCCGTCTCTGCTTCCTGGCTGCCCTGAGGGAGGCAGCCTCCTCACATCGTCCCACTCCACCATGCACTGCCTTACCGTGAGCCCAAAGAATGGGGCCAGGCAGGCCTCGACTGAAGCCTCTGAAGCCAGGAGCCCAAAGAGATTCTCCCTCCTTCAAGCTGTTCCCTGAAGTATTTTATCACAGCAGTGGAAATCTGACACATTCCCTGCTGGTTGGGTGGTCTGGAGCAAGTTATCAACGCTGGCTTGAGAAGAGTCAGATGTAAAGAGTTAGATCTTACTGTAAACCCACAGAATAATTCTACAGCAAGAGATGACATGTGAGTACTACTTTCCTCATTGAGAGTAGCGCTTCTGGAATACTAGTCCCTGGCATTTTCTTAATAGTACTGGAAATAGTTGAAACACGCCCTGGGTGCATGTTAGGCAAGCTCTCTACTACTTAGTTATATCCCCGACCTTTTAAATTTTAAGATAGGCTGTTGCTGAACTGCCCAAGCTGGATCATGAGATCCCCCTGCTCCGCCCTTCTAAGAGGCTGGGATACCGGGTTGTATCTGGCCCTGGCATGGAATTCCGGCCAGCAGCTTCATCTTTATTTTCTCTCTTCCCTCTCACTCAAGGTAAGCAGTGTTGCTTAGCACTACTGAGTAGTTTGAAAGGAAATCCTTGATTTCAAGGAGTACGAAACACATACATTTTACATGGTCATCATTACACATAATGTATGTAAATGACAGAAGTTTCACCAAGCAAACTTGAGGTGCACTGGGTGTGAGGCACTTATTCTCCTAATCAGTAGCTTATTTTTAACAAAGCTAGTCAGTACCCTGCATTGATTTCATCACCAAATCTGCATCACTGTAGGGGAAAAACACAAGGCATAAGCTGATTGTAATCTGAAAACACACCTTAATGGAGACACTTTTCTTTAGTCTAGCGAATATATGATTACCTTTTCTTTGTTTGTTTTCGAGACAGGGTTCCATATGTAGCCCAGGCTGACTTCGAACTCTCAGTGATTCACCAGCTTCAGCCTCCCAAGTGCTGGAATTAAGGTGCACACCACTATGCTGGTTTTTTTGTTTGTTTTTTGACACAAACCATTGCTAGCCCAGGTTGGCCTCAAACTTAGGATCCTCCTGCGTCAGCCTCCCAAGTGCTAGGATTATAGGTATGTGCCAGCATGCTGTTTGTCTAGTTATGTTTTGTTTTTCAAACCTTGAACGAAAGGAACGGTACAAAGAAACTCTGTCAGGATCTCACTCATTTGTTTGTTTGTGAGTGGGAAGACTAGGGATTGAACCCAGGGCCTTTGCACTGGGCTATATCCCTAGCCCTTTCATAATTTTTAAATTTTGAGACAAGGTCTCATTGAGTTGCCCAGGCTGGGCTGAAACGCACGATCCTCCTGGCTTAGCATCCCAGAGTGCAGGGATTACAGGTCCAGCTCTTAAACTCTTTCTGAAGTAATACTTTTTTTTTTTTGGCCTTTTTGAGACAGGGTCTCACTATGCAGTTCAGGCTGGCCTTGAGCTCACTTTGTAGCCCAGGCTGGTCTGGAACTCACAAAAATCCTCCTGCCTCAGCCTCCGAAGTGCTGGGATTACAGGAGTGTGCCACCATGCCTTATTTTTTTTTTTATACTTCTCATTTTAAATCAATACTCAACAGATTTTTGTGGCAGTGCTGGGGATCAAACCCAGGACCTCATGTATGTTAGGCAAATGCCCTACCAGAGCTGCATCCCCCACATACCTACACACTGTGATACACACCCATGTTATGCAAATGAAAACCGGAAGGCATCTTCATTCACCTAGTGGCTCTAGATCTGATGGACTCCGTGGGACCGCCCTCTGTGAATGAGACTCCCCCACCACTGCAAGCCTGCTTGCTGGGAGCAGTTATAACCTCTTGCATTATTGTAAAACAAGACAACAGTGTGCAACACTCAACTACACAGGACAGCTTGGCGTAGACATTAAGTTCAATATGATTTTATTTAGAAATTGGCAAAGCTGAAGGTGGGATCTGGTCTGTTGTTAAAAGAAAGCGATTTTCATTTCGTATATTCAGCCACTTTAGCTTCTGAATAACAGAAAGGGCAGTTTCTCTTCAAGATCCTCACTCCAGCCCTGAGCCAGGTGCTCGGCATCTTGCAGCAGAATCGCACTTTCGCTGCTGGGAGGCACATGGCGAGTCCTCTCACCCGAGTGCCCTCCGCCTCCCCTCCAAGCACACGCGAGGTGTCATTTTCACCGCTCTGCACAGGTCCCCTGAAAATCTTAACTTTCAAGTTGGAAAAACGGTGAAAGGATCCCTTAACACTGCCCGCAACAAACCCAACCGCCTGTTAATTCTTGGCAACTACAAGTATAAAATACTTGGAATTTATAAGATGTTCCACATTTAATGGAACAACTCCAATGTTAAAAAATTAGGCAAAGCAACACGTTTTAATTTCTAAAATGTTACTTAAAAAACTTATCGAGACAAGATATGCAGTCTGTTCTTGTACCTGGTATTATAAACCTACGGCCAATACTCCAATGGTCGAAAAAACAGAATAAAGAAACCAAACATATAACAATGCCTGTCGGAATGTTATGTTTTAAATTTTGTTCACTGAAGGTAACCTGAAGAAAGAAAAGGTCTACAAACCAACACTCAATTTTAAATGATGAGGTAGATTTTTTTTCTATACAATAAAATGAAGATAACAAAGAATACACACAACTTCTAAATCTTCTTTTAAAAAAAAGCTCAAGTTGCAGTCCCCTTCACAAGCAGGACATTTATAGACCATGAGGTGGAGTGGTCAGACTCTGACGTCTTAGGAGTTGGAGGTGGTACTAGCGGGTTCAATAATCAGTCTTGGGTCAATCAACTCTCTCCAGAAAAGAGTGATCTGAGGAAAAATACAAAATACTCAGTTTCAGCATTTCATTTTGAGGTCATATAGGCTTTAGTAAGTCAAAAAATTTTAGGTTAGTCAAGTATTTTCCATTTGTACAGAATAGTTCAAGAACTAGAAAGCTGGGCATGGTGGTGCACACCTATAATCCCAGCACTAGGGAGGCTGAGGCAGAAGGATCACTGTGAGTTTGAGGCCGGCCTGGGCTACAAAGTGAGCTCAAGGCCAGCCTGAACTGCATAGTGAGACCCTGTCTCAAAAGGACAAAACAATAACAAAAAAAGAGAATAGCTCAAGTACTAGAATAATTTAGTTTCAGGAAATTGAGTTCAATAGGATTAGCAGAACTCACCTAGAATGCAGCTAAATTTTACATCAAACATATTTCATCTTTCTTTGATTTAGAGTGTGGGTTGTAGGGGCTGGAGACACCGGTGCGGTAGGAGGTTGTAAGGTGTCGGGAGGGTTGGCCGTGTGGATCAGCGGCCTGCTGACTCTTGGGAGCTGGAGGTGGCCCAAGCTGGTGTCAGGTCACTAATGCCCTTTCAGGGAGGTCTGTTCCTCCTATAAGTAGAATTGCCTAAAAAGTAACTGCTACCAAAAAAAAAAAAAGAAAAAGAAAAGAACTGCTACAATTCACTTAGAGAAAGCAAGGTGCCCTTGGTCACATGGATAGCTAGTGAGAGCCATCTAGTGTCAACAAAGAGAATTACATGCTTTCTAGTATACTTCAGGCCTCTGTTTAAAGAGCATGGGCCGCCAAGGTTTATTTTCCAATGCAGTTTTCTAGGAATACATTTTAACAAAAAGTGGAGCTTATCTATGCAAATAAAGTACAGGAGACTGGACCAAATGTACCAAAGCTACCCAAAACCCTAAAAATGTACTTCTCAAATAAATCCCTAAGTGTGTCATCACCCTTAAAAAAATGAAGGGAAGCATAGTCTGGTCAGGGTTTCTATATGTTTACAACTCAGACAAAATGTGAATCCTCAATATTGAAACTCACAAAACAATCAACACCACATCCCAAATATATATACCGTAAGAGAGAGAGCTTGTTTTTTCGAGACGGTCTCACTATGCAGTCTAGGCCGGCCTTGAACTCACTAGGTCGCCCATGCTGGCCTCAAATCCACAGTGATCCTCCTGCCTCAGCCTCCCCAGTGCTGGGACTACAGGTGTGTGCCACCACGCTGGCTTGACAGAGTATTTTCTTACGTATGTATCTATTGACTTTACAAGCTAGCCATGGCCAGCACTTTATCGTCTAAAAGGGTCTAAGCCAGGTACTGTAAAGGACAGACTCGTGCTCTTTGTCATTCTTTTTTTTGGGGGGGTGCAGGGGACCGGGAATTGAACTCATCACCTCAGGCTTGCCAGGTGAGCACTTATACTGCTGAGCTGTCCCCAGCCCTCTCTGTCATTCTTTACACTACCTCTGCTGTAACAAGTCAGAACCACAGCGGTAGCAGTGGCTAGAGGGCACATGAGGAGATTTCTGCGGGCCACTCAGGATCTCTTTCTTGGTCTGAGTCTGGTTACATGGGTGTGATTGTTTGGGAAAACTTTTCACACCATACACTATGTGCCCTTCTCCAGACGGTATATGCCCATAAAAGGGTTTAAGCTACACTATTCTCCTGGAATCACTATATAATTTTTTGGAAGCTAGGGTCTATGTAGTCCAGGCTGACCTCAAATTTTCAGTGAAGCTCCTGCCTCAGCCTCATGAGTGCTGGGGTCACAAGCATATCACCATGCCCGACTGAACTACAATTTTAAGCAGCTCTACCCTTTTGCTGTTTGGGCATCTTGTCATATAGCCTCCTGGGGTCCCTGATGGCACCCTGATTTGACACTGGGCACTTGCTACTGCTACTCCATAGGGAAGACTAGATGCCCCCAGGCCCAGCTCCTTGATGGTTTATATAAGGGCAGGCCAGGGAACTGCAGCGTCACCTTCAACCCCAGGTTATTCGGCAGAGAAGGCCCAACCAAGTAGCACAAGAAGAGATGCACACCTACCTTCTTCTCCGACGTCACAGCGTACTCCACTACCTCAGTTCCATTTTCATTGTGATAAACCAAGTCAAATTTCCCAGGTTCCTTCACGGCTGAAACCAGAAGGGAGAGAGGAATTGCAGTTGGTCACTTCTGCACAATTAAACTGCCCCCACATGTGGAATTCAGATCACTGGGAGAATAGTCACAACGAACCCAACTGCTGTGAAGGCTGGGCGTGCGCAGGCAGGCACGGAGCACGCAGTTACAGGAGGCCTCGAAGAACCCTGTGCCAGCAACAGCGAGCTTCCCAGCTGTTCATCAGAGACAAGTGTCGCTTATCAGAAAGGAATGAGCTCGCACGTCACTAGTACTCCCAGAACAGAATGTGGAACCACAAGATCATTGCAAAAGATAACCGTTCCAACAAGGGTGGTGACACGAACTATGCTTTCTCCTTAGAAACCGCACACGTCACTTCCTGGAGCACACGCGAGTCTCAGCCTCAGACTCGAGGACAGGCTCAGAAAAGACGGTGCAAGGTGAAACCATGCCCGGCAGTGATAATCCATGGGGAAATTATAATTGACAATCAAAAATGTGCCATCGAAACATTAAAACTCTTTACAAGGGAACGGCACAGGTACTTACTTACTACACTTCACTTCTGGGGTAGTTGGAGCAGTGCTCCGCTCCTGGTTGAGAAACACACTGTGCCCCCGCCCCCCAGCACCTTTTCTACACCCCTCGGACCATCAGCTCCTCTCTAGGTTGGGATCAGCTTCCGGCATTTCATCCTTTGAGCGTCTAATGCCATGAAACGGCTCTGACAGCCTGTTTCTTTTTCACTTTGTGGGATCTTTGTGAAGACTCTTGCTGGTGTCGCTCCTGGGAAAATTTTCGCCCTCTTTATTCTTGCCACTGTCCTCGTTCACACGAACAGCGGTGGCAGCGTCCCCACCACTTTGCTCTTTCATCTGTAACACCTTCATTCCATTTGGATGCACGTCTGGCACCTCACCACTTTTCCTCTCCCCACTGGGCTTTCATCTTTGTGGGACAACTCCCTATCTCAGTTATCCATTCGATAAAACAAACCAAAATAAAGTGTGTGCCTCCACCCTCCGGGGACAGGGAGGCAGCGCCCCCGCCTGCAAGCTGCCTGCTCGGAAACGCTAGACTCCTGCAACCACTGATCCTTGCTGGACTTCAAAAGGAGCGATGAGATTGGTCAGCGATCACGACGCCCCTGCTACTTACACAGTGGTTCGGCCACCTGCCGACTCACTAGTACTTCGTGCAGTTACAATGAGCACATCCGGGGTTGTCAGGGGACTGATGCTATTGAAACCTGGGCAACTAAAATTCACCTCTATCACAGCTACGCAGGGCAAGGACTGCTTGCACTTCTCATACAGACGAGCCGAAGTCACCGGGTAGCGCCCCCCACACACTGGACGTCATCACTGTGAATCACCTGACAAGCAGTCACCAGCTGTGTCCATGGAATTTGGTCATCGACAAACCTCTCTGTCCACCATCTCTAAAAATGGGGATTTCTACAAACGCAGCCACATCAGAAGAAAGCTGGAAAGCTGACTGATGTAAGTTACAGCTGATCATTTACTTAGTATCACGAAGGGATTTTGCTGAAAACTCTTTTCACTGATTTCTATTTAAATTTTCTACTCACTACTTTACTAAGCAAAAACAAACACAAAACCCAGAAACAATTCATTGCTTTAAGTCTGCTGAATGGAAAGGGATCTCCCTGCTCTCTGGCTGGGGACCCCACAACATATTCCAAGTTGAGCTCTCTGTAGCGAAGGCCCTTTTACGCCAGGCGTTCAGAACCAGTAGTGGGCAGTGGTAATCAGGGATGATACAGAGAAAACTTGAGATAATATGCGACTGGCTGGCACACGCAAGGCCCCGGGTTCGATCCCCAGCACCACCACACATAGATGAATAAAATAGTATGTGCCAGTGTGTACATACACACATCACAGTCTATTCTGACTAAGTCAACGAAAGTGTGTTCCTTTAACAATCTCTTAAACTAGAGATGAATAGGTCTTACAAGTTCATTAAGTAGAGATGTTTTTCTTTTATAAACTATACCCCTAATGTATCATCACAATTTCCAGTTTTGAGGTCTTTTTTTTGGAACCAAGGCCTTTGTATTGAGCTACATCTCCAGACTATTTGTATTTTTTATTTTGAGACACCGTCTTGCTAAGTCACCAATTTGCCTGGGCTAGCTTCAAACTTTGGATCTTCCTGCCTTAGCCTCCCAGAGTGCTGGGATTATAGGTATGTGCCATCATACTTGACTCATCTGAAGTGGGTTTTTTTGTTTGGTTTGTGTTGAGTTTTGAGACAGGGTCTCACTATACAGTTCAGGTTGGCCCTGAACTCACTATGTAGCCCAGGCTGGGCTCAAACTCACCATGATCCTTCTGCCTCAGCCTGCCCAGTATGTGCACCACAACGCCTGGCTTGTGGTGATTTTTTAAGTGATGCAAAAACAAAAACTTTGCAGGGCAATCCAAATGCAAAATCTTCCAAAGTTTTTTACAGAGTGCCTCCCAATCTTTCACAGATGACCCACCCACATGTAATTTAATAGCACCTTTCCCATAACGCTCCTGAGTCAGCATTCAACTTAGGTTACCTAGAAGTATTTCTTTTTGCAATCAATTTTGCCAGCTTACATAATCTTTTATAAAAGCAACATCATTACAGTGATTAAAACCACTAGTCTGACAGCTTTGAGAGCCAATGTGACACCAGTTAGCAGACAAACACCCCAAGGAGAGGAGCACAGGCCCCGGGCAGCAGGGTGCCAATCACCAATCATGGTGGCCAAACAGAGGCCAACGAAGAGGACACCTCTGTACAGGACTGTTCAGAACCCACTGTAAATATGAGGCGCCTACATTTCTGTTTGTTTCTAAAAGACTCACCAGGTAAGGATGACAGGATTTCTATGTCTACTTGCTGGGTCTCTGGATTGTGGCTTAATAGTTTTCCTTCCTTTCAAAAATAAAAGTTCAAGTCAAATATCAATATGTAAAACACTGTGAACACACTAAAAAACTGACTGATTTATAGACTTTAAAATGTTTAACATGGTAAAATTCATGTGATGTGAATTTTATCTTTTTTTTTTCAGTCATTTTGAGACAGGGTCTTGTCATAAAGTTCAGGCTGACCTTGAGCTCACTTTGTAGCCCAGGCTGTTCTCAAACCTGCAAGGATCCTCCTGCCTCAGCGTCCACAGTGCTGGGATTAGAGGAGGGTGCGACCACGCCCAGCTATGAATTTTATTTCAATAAAATATTTGCTTAGCATTCACAAGACACCAGGTTTGATCCCCCAAACTGTTAAATTATAGGATGAAAACAATAAAAACTTTGTGCCTGAGAGCTATGATCTTCCTTCAAGTTTCAAGTCATGGGCTGGGGATATAGCTCAGCTCATGCTTACACCTGCCTGTAAGCATGAGGTCCTGAGTTTGATTGCTGGTACCAAAAAACCCCACAAAGTTTAAAGTCATGAAGGAATGGACACTTAAATGTTTGTGTATCCAAATTGATTAAAAAAAAATGACTAAAAATCAAGATCAGGGTAAGGGAATGGCATACACTTGTAATACCAGCACCTAGGAGGCTGAGGCAGGAGGATCTTGAGCTTGAGGCCAACCTGGGCTACACAGTGAGTTCAAATCCAGCCATCCTACAGAGCAATACTCTATGTCAAAAATAAACAACAACAACAAAAAAAAAACAAAAACAAAAGACTCAAACTCAGAGCTGGGGAAGTAGCCCAGGGGTAGAGCACTGGCCTAGCATGTGCAAAGCTGTGGATTTTGTGGATTTGCTCCCTAGTACCACACACACACACACACACACACACACACACACACACAAAATCAAGTTCATCATTTATATTCTGTATTCTTCCCAGGAAAAAAAAAACTGGGAGACTTTACGGTGATAGTAACAAACTTACATTTTGTTCATTTTATTTTGCTTTGTTTTTTGAAACAAGGTTTCACTGTGTAGTTCAGGGTGGCCTTGAACTCACTATGTAGCCAATGCTGACCTCAAATTCATAGTGGTCCTCTGCCTCAATCCCAAGTGCTGGGAGTACACATGGGCCACCATACCTGGCTGGATGTTGTCATTTCCTACTCTGTTACATTACTTCCTTTAAAACTATAATATCCATTCAGGTAGTAGTAAATATAGCTTTACCTTTACTATACTGACAACTCCATTTTTCACAAAATTTCTTTGCAGAAACAGGGTCTCACTATATTGCCCAGGATACATGAACTCTTGGGCTCAAGTGATAGGCACACGTCACCGTACCCAACTGACTTATTACTTTAAAACAAATAACCTTACCTTATAGTCAGAGACATCAGGAGAATAATCAGATGTTAGTTCCAAAAGCTAAAAAAGAAGACAAAACCTATGAGGACACAAATCCTCTAATGCTGCCCTGGTCCACGGCTCCTCCCTCCTGCCCCCAGGAAAACACGCAGCCCCAAGGGGTCCATTTCCACTGACCAAGGCTCCCCCACAAGCCCTAGACAAAGCTGCAACCCCAGGGGAGAAGGGCTTTTCTAACTACGTCTTTAACATCACTTGCGAAGTGCGTTTACATGCAAGGGGAGCTAACCTTTTTTGTCGCAATTGTTGCTGTTGTAAAATATACCTTAAATGCAATCTTTTCTCCGACTTGCGGGGCAGCTGCTAACAGCGGTAAGAGACTATAGTCCTTCTTGGGTATCTCTACTGGATTCTGAAAAACACCACCAGTCATGGGACTTGGTTACTGGGTGGGCGGGGGAGTGGGGCCACATGAGGGGAGTCCAGATGCACCGAGGGGGGCAATGCGGTAAATACTGACCTGGATGATAGTGGATGAGTTTATTACGATCTCACGGAGTTGCTGCTGCTTCTGATACTCAGAGTTTTTATTTAAGACACAGGGCAGAGCTTGGCCTCGTCCTCGACCTCTCCCCCGCATGCCCCGACCCCGCGCCCCTTTCCAGAAAACAAGGTCTTCTCCTCGCCCCCATCCTCTGCCGAAGCTGGGCAGCGGGACAGGCTGTCTGTCGTGGCTTGGGTCAGAAGGCTTCCAGCCCGTGGCAGCCGGCGTGTGCAGGGATGGCCCTGGCCCCGGGCAGGCCCTTCCTGCCGGGAGGCCGGCTGTCTTGGAGAAGCTGCACCCGTGCTCTGGCGCCAGCTTAGAGGCTACGGGCTCGTCACCCGACTCCGAACTGGAGTCTGAACTGGATGACGACGAGGACGAGGCCCTGGTGGCCTTGCCCTTGCCAGGACCGAGGTTAAGGGCGGCTTTTGTACACAGTTTGTTGGCAGCTGCATTTTTTGTAGAGGGCCCGTCCTTTGGTAACTCAGCCGCCAGCTTCTCGGGGTAGTTCCCAGCCTCCGGGGTGGCAATGCTGAGCCGGTCGCTGCCTGAGCACGGAGAAGACTCCGACCCGGAGGAGGAAGCGGGACTGTCCTGGGCACCAGCGCCGCCCCTGCCCTTCCTTCTGGCTTTGCCCACGCAGCAGCTGGCAGAACCTTTGGGGGGACTACAGCTCGGGGCGCTCCGCTCTTTGACCGCCTGTGCTTTGAGAGGCTTGCGGTTCTTGGCCTGGTTTTTACACTCACGCTTCTCCTTCTTCTTTGGTGACTTCCTTCTGGCCTCTCTGTCCTCGTCATCCCCCGCATTGTCACAGGTCGCTTTGTTTCTTCGCTTGCTTTTCTTCCTCACAGGCTGATCGGGGCCAGCGTCTGCGTGCAGCTCCGAGGCCTTCTCCGTACTGCTGCTGTTCTCCTGCCTCTTCCAGTGCTTCTTTGACAGAACGTAGCCGAGTTCGGTTTCTTGATCCTCCTCCAGCTTCGAAGGCCGCTTCCTGGCTTTCACAGGTGGCAAATGAGGATCGCCACCATTGCTGACTAGGACGGAGAGCTCAGGAACTTCGCTGTCTTCTAACTTGACTCTGTCAGAATAAGAGCAAATGCCGGAGTGAGCAGATTCAAAAGCCTGTCTCCAGGACGAAGTTATCCGCTAATTCACCACCACCAGCCCATGAAAAGCATCAGATTCCCGACGGACAAGAGACTCCGTCTGACGAAATGCTCTACATAGCATCACTCACAGTCCACTTCCATCTGGCCAGTTTTATTCCTGAATGTCCACCGTGCCCCAAATGTTTTCTATACACGTTCTCTGACCTAAATACCACCCCAAAGTAGGTAGCTTTCATTTTACAGGCTGCAAAATTACAGCTCACACAGGCAACTTGCTCAAGACCCACAGCTGGTAAGCAGCAAAAAGGCACTCAAACTTCAGTTTGTCTAACTTCAAAACTCACCATCTTTCTGTGATAGATATGGCACTTCCCCTAAAAGGTGATGATGCTAGTTATCTGTTCTGTTTTGGAATGTGTGTTTCTTTTTTTTAAATGAGATGTTATTTATTTTTGGTTTTGTTTTTTTGAGACAGGGTCTCTCTACATAGTTAGGCTGGCCTTAAACTTACTATGTAGCCCAGGATAGCCTCAAATTCACAGGAATCCTCCTGCCTCAGCCTCCTGAATGCTGGAATTATAGGGGTACATCACTGTGCTTAGCTGAGATTGTATTTTTAATATGGCTAATTTTGTCAAACATAGACTCAACCTAGGTATCTCCTGACAGATAAGTAGTTAAGGAAAATGTGGACTATATAAATATGTACACATATACACATAATGGAATATTACTGAACTATAAAAAAGAGTAACATTCTTTCATTTGCAGCAACATGAATGGCACTGGAGGATATGTTAAGTAAAACAAGTCACCTACAAAAAGATGAATTCCACGTGTTCTCACTCATATGCAAAAGCTAAAAGGTTATCTCAAAGAAGGAGAAAACAGAGCAGTGATGATTGGAGCATGGGAAGAACTAGGGGGAAGGATGGAACAGATGTAACTTCTAATATCCTACAGCGCTGCAAGATAACTACATTGATAACAATTAATTGAACATTTCCAAATAGCTAGCCAGAGGATTTACCAACTCCAACAAATGCTAAATGTCTGAAGTTAGATGTGCCAGCTACCCTGATCTGATCGTTACACTGTGTGTACGTATTGAACTGGAACCTACGTCCTATAAATATGTACAATAATATGTGTCCATTAAAAATAGAAATATATTTTAAAGTAATATAAAGAGACTTTATTTTAGAGAAATGTCACAAATTTATGCTCTCCAGGTACCGGCAGCAGCCCACCACAGTCCGCACACGACAGTTTGTGGTGACTGATTTTCCGCGTCGACTTGACTGGGCTGGAGGGTGCCTAGACACCTGGTTTCATATTACTCTATGACATGTCCGTGTGAGTGCTCTTGGATGAGATTAACACTGAAATTCGAAGACTAAGGAAATTGCTTCCACCCGACCCACTGAAAGCCTGAAGAAAACCAAAATGCTAAGTAGGGCTCATCTGCTTTGCCTGACCCTTCACTGAGACACTGGTCTCCGGTCTCCAGACCCGGACTTGGATCAGAATTACACCGTCAGCTTTCCTGACGCAGCGCCCTGCCGACTGACTGCAGGTCTTGGGAGTTCTGAGCCTCTGCAATCATGTGAGCCAGTTCCTTATCATAAATTGTGTGGGTATGGGTGTGGGTGTGAGTGTGTGCGCACATGCATGTGTGTGCATCTCCTGTTAGCTCTATTTCTCTGGACAGCCCCAATATACATTTCATCCAAATTCATTTCACCATAGGAAAGCAATTTTCTCCCCTCAACTGGCAACACCTAAATCTGATACGTGCAGTCTGACAACAGATGGCTTGACAGTGTCCCCAGAGTTGAAGAAGAAACAGCAGGCGCTCCAAAGTGCTGGCTGAAAACACATTATAGTTACAATGCACTTATATCCAGCTATATATCCCAAAGCAGCTATTAGCATTATCTCACTGCATCCCAAAGAGGATGCATCTACGAATATCTGGCTGAGAGGTATGACCAGTGACTGCTGGGGCTTCGCTACCTACTGTTTCCAAAGTGGATTTCCATTTAGGAAATATTCAGACAGAGCTGGGGATATAGCTCAGTGGTCAAGTGCCTACCTACCATGCCCAAGGCCTTGGCTTTGATTCCCAGAATTGGGAGGGAGGAAGGGAGGGAAAAAATTAAGACAGCAAAGCAAAATGCCACCCAGAGAACAAGGCATGGTTCCCAAGTCTGCTTAGGTTCCAGTCCTTTCAGGGGACATGTTTACTCTAATAATGTTCATTTCTCTACATGGATCACAACAAACACACAAACAAACAAAAGTGAGTGTTGCCCTTTTACAAACAGAAGTGAATTATCTGGGTAATTAGTGATGGAAAGAAATTTGATTCCAAGGAATTTCTAGAATAGATCTTCCACTTTTCATTCCAACTCTGCAGGGAACACTGGACAGTATTTTCAAAATGCAAGTGCCCTCTTTAGATCTGCTGTTTTGCTTACAGGATTTTGTTACGCAGACACGCCCACCTGCCTGGCTTGACACCCCACCCCACTGCCTGTCCAGGTCAAAGTGATTGCTTGTGATCAAATCCTTATGCCACTGTTACTAATGTTGAAAAATCACTACCTCAACACTTCGCATCTGTAAAGATGACAATGATAACAATGACAGTACTCAAATGGGCTACTGCACATTGCAGCATGCCTGGCACACAGCAAGTGCTAGCTGAATGGCAGCTCTGATTTTTTTTCTTTTAAACACAATGAAAGCTGTTAGTCCTCTGACAGACACATTGATGGGTTTTTAATGAATGTGTGCGACTGACTGAAGATAAAATTCAACAAGGAAGTTTCAAGGGGGAGGCCTCACCCTGCTGGGCCCCACCAGCTCCCCGCAGCCTCCCTTCTGCCTGGCTGAGGCTTGCAGTGGCCACATTATCCCTTTCACAATTAGAAGCATAAAACCAAAAACTCTAAAACCTTAAATTTAGTCTTTTCCTATGATCTGCTCCATTTACCATTGAAGCCAGCTGCAGAGATATTTATTTATTTTTCCTTTTACAGCATGAGGGATCAAACCCAGGGTATATAGTAGGCAAGCATTCTACCACTGAGCTACATTCCCAGCCCTCAAAGAGATGTTTTTTGCCATATGTAACTGTGCATTTGAAGCGTTTAAGAAGAATTTGCCTGGCACCATGCTGTAGTTATTACTTGTAACAGCTTTCATGTTTGTTTTTGACATTGTTATTTTCATTATCCAGAGTATAATTCCCAGATGATTCATTAGTTGAAATATAACTGTAGTGAGCCAGCAGCAAGTTATTAATTCACTAGGCAGACGAAAGTTCAGAAAGCAAATTTAATTGGGACAGAGCCCTGAACAACTGTAGTATTTACATAGCACCTGCATTGCAGAGAGAATGTAGACCTGAACAATAAAAAGGGAAAAAGATGCTTACTTCAAATTGTTATTTGAAACAGCTGTATATCACTAATAACTCACAGTGTGAAGCTCTGGATTGTTTCTAATTTTTTTTGTCTTTAATGGTTTGATCAATCTTTCCTTCTTACATCTGGTAATCTGAGTAACTTCGTTGAAGATAACAATATGTACTATAACAACCACTGTTAACTCCTACCATCTTCTTTTGCAATCTTGTATCGTTTTTTGCTTTTGTCTTCATTGTTGTTATTTTGTTATTGCTTTTTTCTCTTTAAAAAAAAAATAAATCACAGTGTTCCTGATTTAAGAGTGAAAAATTCCCTGATGTTCTGAAGTAGTTTTGTGATTCTGATATACTCTAGAGAAAGCAATAGTCAACAACAAAGGGAGCCGGGTATAGCGGCACAGCTCTGCCATCCTCACTATTTGGGAGGCTGAGGCAGGAGACTGCAATTTAAGGTCAGCCTGGGCAATTTAACAAGACATTGTCTCACAATAAATAATCAAAAGGGCTGAGAATGTAGCTACGTGGCAGAATACTTGCCTACCATGCCCAAGCCCCTGCGTTCAATCTCCAACAGGCAAAATAGAACAAGACAAGCAAGTGAAAGCCTTGTTCACAACTCTAGGGTAATTCACTGCGTGATCAGGCCAATACAACCAATCAGAACTGACACGATCACAACTCAACCCTTCCTGAGACAACTCAACCACACAGGCAAGTCTCGCTACTATTGCTCCTAGGTACCTCAGCACCGTTTTTATATTTGTTTGTTGTCTTTTTGAGATAGGGTTTCACTATGCACTTCAGGCTGGCCTTGAGCTCACTTTGTAGCCCAGGCTGGCCTCAAACTCACAG